AGGATAACAACACTTGTACATCGGCTGGCCCCGCAAGTCATGTATAGGCCACATCGCATTCAATAAGCCACTACGATTCTGAATGGAAGTAGAATGCGTGCCGCATCCCACAAAGGGATTGATCAACGGCGAAGACTTTATCCTTTATCCTTATCGTTGCAACTGGTCGGGCGGACTGTTTCGAAAGGGAAGGAATGAGCTCACCCGCGGTTTTTGACCACTGGCGGTTTTTCTTGCTAAATCACTCACTATTTGTAGGGAAAGTGGCAAGTTTCACAGGAGTTTAGTTTGACAGGTGATAACAAGACTTACAGGATGTTGACAAGTTTGACCGGTATTCATATGTATGCAGTTTACAGGGTTTGGTATGCTGACAAGCGTTTACGCCTATGCCCCTCCCGCACCTCCCCAAGGCACGGTCCGATTATTCCTCACGCGATTGTAGTGGTCCGCATAGTAAATGAAGAAGTGAGCTGCTCTCGGTAAACAAACACTAAAGGAAAGGGTGTTACCGGACGACACAGTCAAGTGGACCGCGCTGACGGTTTCATCGAGTGTTTATCGCTTCAAAGGAGAGCCATAAAAACACGACTATATGAATTCTGATGGGAGGCCACTTTCGAATCTATAGGAGACACGGATGGTAGGAGCGGCGTGTCTTATACAGCCAGTATTGTGTCCAGAAGAACATGGTGGATTTACATCGCTTTGATCTCCCGTCCATGAGTTGCTTAAGAAACAGGGCACGTCCATGGGGATCCCCAGCGAGGTCTGGAGGGGGATGGTGGGATGGTCGTATTTGGGAGCTGGAGGTAGGACTTCTTGTTTACATCGGAGAAAAACGTTTCCGGTCACTGACTTTGCGGTCTTCGTTTTTCCTAATTCAGGCGGGGGGGGGGGTCGTTATTGCGGAAATTTTCCCTGACAGCAGGTAGTGTCCTAGTAGAAAACAGTGTTAGCAATCCTTGTTGTCTATGATAGGGGTGAAGTGGGTGGAGAGGACGCCGCGAGAATTTATCGGGGAAAGTTGTTCTGTGTTTACGGCACAATATTGGTGCCTTGTTGGAGCGTCAAGTTGAATCAAAACATAATGGATGAATTCCTTGCCGTTGATAAGTACTTCTTTTGGGATTCTACGCATTCTAAATACTTCCATTCAGAATCGCAGTAGCTTATCGAATGTGGCCTATAAAGGTGCCAGCCGATGTACCAGTCATTCTTCTTTTCTCCCATGGTACCAATTAACCGTCCCCGGAGAAAACGTTGGGGCTTGGGTGGGAGCCGATCAGCAATGCGATTTCCGGATTGTG